AAGGACCAAACCCAGTGCCTCACATATGCTAGGCAAGCACGCACTGAGCTACAGCCTCAGGCCTAATCAATTATTCAAGTCAAGAAAACTCAATAAAAGATCCGTGAAATGTTTTATCCAATATAAACATACATTTAGAAGGAAATGGAATAATGATCTATTACAATTTCATAATGAGAGAAATCCAAAACCTTCTTATTTGAAAAATTTCAATTAATTTAGAAACTATATATTTGAATGCAAATTAAAGTGTACATGCAATAAGATTTTGCATCAAACTAGGATCCTAAGTTACTCACTTACTGATGACAGAACTATTTTTCCCATATTATATGCCTGTGTGGGTCTTTCATTGCTGGTGGGAGTGCAAACTGGCACAACCACTCTATAAAGCAATATACAAATTTATACATTTCTTAATACAGATTTGTCTTTTGTAAATATATTAAGAAAAAGAACACAACAATTTTGAATATGAATGTTTTATTTAGTTTGAAAATTCTTATATACAGTAAAATGTGAAATATTAACTATCAACTCAACATTTTATTTTTAACCAGATAAACACTCTGCAATAATCAAGACCCAAATCAAGAAGAATGATATTTTTTCTTCCAGAAACTCATTGTGATTTGGGATATAATTCATAAGATTTTCAAATGTTAATCAATGAATAATAGGTTATATATTCTGCATCTTCATTGGTTTAATTTTTAGTTTGTAGGATTAGTCAATCATTGACTTATTATTAATTTATTTATTTTCATTGCTGTAGAAGAAATAAATTTATTTGCCTATGATCATGTTTATGGATATTTGGGTTGTATTCAGTTCGGGAATATTTTGATTGGTGCTTCTCTGAGTATTCTTGTGTCTGTCTTTAGGTTAACATAGTTGGATATTATATTAGTCTATGCTCCCGTCCACAATGGGACAGTTTCAGTCATTCTCCATCCTTTTCAGTACTTGATATTATTCCTTTTCATTTAGATATTTATGTAGCACTGTCACATTTATATATGGCATAAGAAAATTGTGAAAAATTACATGTACAAGAAAATTGCATTCTTTTTAACCTTACAAAAATAGAAAATAATAACTAATTTTAATAAGTTATATTCCATTCAAAGTATTTTAGATGTCCTACTTTGCAATAGTTTTCCTTATTTAAATGATAATAAGAATAGCGATGCTGGAATACTTAACAGTACTACAGCTGGAATTGAGATTCTTGATCAATTATAATTCTGATAATTTTTACCTAAATCTCTCTAATTTTTCAACTGTGTTATTAACTATGGTAGTTAAGAACAAAAACAAAAGGCAATAAGTTCCTCTGACTAAAATTTAACAATACTCCTGTATCTAAAAAGAAAGTTTCCTGATTTGTAAGTGAACCAGAATGTGAGTCAGTTCATAGCTTAAATGAAATTACGAGATGCTTCTGTTTCCATTGCCTGCATTATATTTGTGTTTCTAAAGAAACATAGGAAGGCCATATGTAATTCTGTTAGTTTTTTCTCACATTGCCAACATCTGTTACTTTAGTTTTTAGCAAGCACCGTGTAACTGCTTGCTAAGGAGAGTTTTGAAGGAAATTGTACATCTCTTCTTAAACAATGGAGGCTTTGTAAAGGTTGTAATTAGAGGGAAAAAATACTCTGCACCAAGCTAATCCTATCTTTAATGTATATTAGCTAGATTCAATAGTTTTCATTAGTAGCTGTTAAGTGATTGTATTTTGGAGTTCACGTTTCCTGATTTCAGATCCTTGTTGTACACTTTACAAATGGTGTGGCCTTTGAATAGTTACTTAACCTATTCAGATCCCAGATTCCCAAGCTATATAATGGATATAACTATAACACAGATATTACAAGGTGTGTTAGGATGGGTTCTCCAAAAGAAAGGTATTAAAAAGGGGTTGAGCAAGTATATTTGATTGGGTCTTGTAAGATAAAGATATTAGTTTTAGAAGAGCCTATATTTTCAGTATAAGTATTTTACCTGGAAAAGCATTACAGCTTCACTATTGGGGGGAATCCCTGTAAGACATACAGAGGGTTAGCTGTGTAAGGCTGAAGGAGCTGTTGGATGTGAAACAAGTCTGACTAAAAGTGAAGGAGAGAGAAAAGGATGGTTAAGTGGAAGCACACTAGTCCCATCCTGTCTAAGGAAGGTTTACCAAGGACTCCAGGGTATCCTGCACTAAAATTGGCTGTTGGAGAAGCCGTATGTCTTCCTATGTTGGAATTGCTTTAGTAATTCTTCTACACTCAGTCACTGGGGGAAGTAAGGGCAGATGCAGAACTAGAGTTTAGGCAAAGCAGCAGTTGACCTTAATCAACCAAGCTTCCTATACTTGAAGCTATGGAGGGACTCATGGCTATCACAGATAATTATCATGAAGATGATTTGACAAATTCCAAATAGAGTAACTAAAGCAACATCTGCATCACAGTTATGCATTATCCACTTAATTTACTAATCATCATCATTATTAATACTTAATAGAAGTGCCACATGTACAATATGCCTGGAATGTTGAGAAAGTGAATAGTAATGTAACAATGCTACATAGGATTAAATTTTACTTGATTCATTCAAGTTGGATAATATTACACATTAAAAACATAAATGTAGTTTTCCTTCTACTATTTTTATTAGTGTGTGTATGTGTGTGTGTGTGTGTGTGTATTTCTGAATCCTAAATGGATACTAGAAAACCTAACTCTGAACTCCTCTATGGCAGCACAAAGAAGTAGGTTCAAATTTGTTTTATTAATATTATTATATTTGTCATATCCAGCTGATATTATCAATTTCAAAGGATTCTATTATTTAATATAAGTTGGAGGACTTAATAATTGTTTGGTTCACTTTTTAAAATTGGTCATTGGGAGTATATAATCTTAGAACTGAATATTCCTTAAAGATTCTTTCATATGGCAATATTCTTAACAGTGTAAATTCCTTTAATCTTTCAAAGATTTTTCCATTACTGAAGAAAATTCAGAGGGAGAATATTAATAGTTGTGACACTCTGCACAAATAGTGGGAAGGGGCCAGGCATGGTGGTGCTCACCTATAATCCCAGCAACTCTGGAGGCTGAGCAAGAAGACCACAATTTTGAGGTCCCTCTTTCTTAACTTAGAACCTGTCTCAAAAGAAAGCAAAAAATGGCTGGGGATATAGCTCAATGGGAGAGTGTCTCTAGGTTCAATTCCTGGTACTTCAAAACAAGAAAAAAATGGGAAAGAAAATTACATTAAATTAATATGAACATTCTTATTGAAAAGTCTCTGAGGCTATGTTATTATATGAATGTAAGCATACAGATTACTCAGAAGACACTCTTACACCTGTCTTTGGCTCCTTACATTCCTGCATTTGTGTCTCCACTTTGTAGACAGAAGTCTAGTTATTCTTCTCAGTATGGATTGCTTATGAGCCTTTGCCCTTTCTCCTGCCAGTATGTTATCCTCTGCTCTGGAGTTCTCATTAAGCACACCATGTAAGACCCATTCCTACATTATTACTTAAAGTGCTACTTAAGTTCTAACTTCTCCTTGATATTTTGTCAAGTGTCTTTGCCCTGAAGGGCTTCTCCATGTTCCAAATGCCCATGGTGTGTGTTATCCTACCTCACACTGTTAAGAAAACCTACAAAAATACCTGTCGAGAAGCGAATGAAAGAAGGACACACACACACACACACACACATACAGTGCAGGGGCAAGAAAGCAAGTGGCTGCTACTCCCAGCAGCCGCCTTTATTATCTCAAAAGTTACATAGCTCCCGTTACCATGACTACATGCTAACTAGTATTCCTTTAACCCTGAGTGCTAGCTAACTGAGATAAGGTCTAGGTTAGTACAAATACAAAGCCCCTTCTCTCCAATGACAACACCATAGAAACTAGATAGTGCACCTGTATATTTACCTTAATAGCTTCAAGGGGAAACTGCTGGGCATTCCAAGCATGGCATCAACAGGGCCCCAGTTCCCCCCTCAGGAGTTTGCTCACTGGAGGAATGGTTCCCTGTATATTTCCACAGTCAGAATACCTACAACACATAGCCTATAGGGTTCCTCCCAGCTGTTCCCACAGTGTGGCATTTAAACTGTTCACTTGTCTTTGGGCTCAGCTATCCTGTTCAGAAAACAAGGGCATTTGTAGGGCTGCAATCTATTAGGTATTCTTAAATTATAGTAAAATGTAATAAATGAATGAATGTGTAAATGAATGGCTTAATTAATAAATTCCTACATGAGTAAGGAGCATTTGAGGACAAGAATTATGCCATTTTATAATCCCAGCCAACTAGTATAGACCTTTGACTAGAGTAGGCATTTAATACTTCTTTGAAACTGATGAATTTAAATATTTTTATGAATACTAAGTTGACATTATATTATTGTCATTTTGGGAAGGTAGTGAACTTTCAAAAGACTTTCATTGCCAAGGAAATCATCCTTTTACATACAAATGAATCTTGGTAAAAGAAAATTGTTCTTCTACTTACAAAAGATTTTGCAGAACTTTGGTTGATTTTAAAGTTAATGATTTTGACTTGTCCAGTTAAATATATATAAATTTAACAATATTATCAGGACTTATTTAAATGCTGTATAAAGTAGAATAAAATTACCCAGGGAATATGGATACAGATATATGTGTAATTCACAAAGAATTGGTAACAAAGTCCGATGAATATTGATTATTACCAGAATATTAATAAATATCATTATAAAATAAGTATATTTGGTTGGGTCTTGGAAGACAAAAATATTAGTGTTAGAAGAGTCTATATTTTCAGTATAAATATTTTACCTGGAAAAGCATTTCAGCTGTACTGGATTATGTTCCAAGAAAAAATACTTTGGTGTATGTTCATCAAGGAGGAGATTCTGAACTTGAATTAGTTCAAGTAGTTGGGGTAGATAATACTCAGCAGTTTACTAAGTCATGTGTCTTTCATTTTCTACTTTTTTTAGCTATACTCAGCGTGTGGTTGGAAATGGAATCAAGGCCCAATCTGGGAATCCTGAAGTCAAAGTCAAAGGAACTGATCCTGTGATCAATCAGATAATTGATAAGCTGAAGCATATAATTCAGGTAAGGAGATCCTGTATATACAGGCTTGGTTTATTGACAGTAAGTAATAAATGTTACTTTATATTATATTTAATAATTTTATTAATTGTATCTGATAGTCCTACCTAAAAATGGGTACTGGAATCACTTATTTCTATCTGGAGGTTTAGAAATACTTGGTTGAGTGGTTGTCATATAGTCAATGTATAGTGGTGTTTTTATGAGTGGACAATCTGTACCTGTGAAAAGCAAGCTGTTGCTTCAACATTTTAAGAATGAGAAAATATTTCATCCTCCACAAGTAAGTGTCAATCAGAGGTACAACAGTTGCCACTGAAGAAACACATCAGAGAGGAGAAAATGTCAGCATTACATTCCAGGTAACTCTTTACCTTGGTGTGAAAATATTTGCTGTATTCTCAACAATACGTAAGCCATAAATGAATAATCACATCTCTAGTATTTATTTCTTATATCGTTTTGTACATGCTATTTTATAATTGACTTAATAGTTTTTAGCAAATACATTTTTATTTATAATAATGCTTCTGTTTTATATTTAATAATATTATTTAATCAAGTGAATATATATTGCTATTTTTAATACATAACATATGAGGAATGAATATAACCTGGCAAAAGACTATTACATTGAAATAATCTGTAAATTGGGACAAAATATTTCATTACATGTTGCAGTTACCACCTCCTATGACAACTGGTTTTGGGGGTAAGAAGAACTATTTTTTAGTTATTAGTCATTTCATAAAAAATATGTATGTGCATGTTGATACACACACATACACATATATTTATTTTTAAGCAAAATTTTTAGGGATAGATGATGCTGATTTTTGGTATTGTCTGTCAGAAAAAATATATAAATAGTACTGAATCCACATATAGCACATTCCAGAATCACTGGTCTGAGTTTCATAATTGCTCTGTAGAGCTTAAGTTAATGCAGGTCTAGTTGATAGGACCCTATTTTCATTATAGGGCCCAGATTTCATTTGCACTATCCATTACAGTAATAGTTACCCTGTTTATTCTGTTGCATGTATTGGGAAAGCATAGTTTGGGTAGGGAACCAAAAGGAAGTTCCACTGAGAATAGGGTTGAGAATAGGGTAAAAAAAGAGAGTGGCACCAGGACCACCAGTGAGTAAGCCTCACAGCCTCTAGTGAGTTGAACTGATTCCCTGGAAGGGAAGCCTCCAGAGTAAAGTAGGTGCCTTATGCGCTAGTGGGCCAACCACTGAGGCATTTCTTGGAGATGAGCAGCCTTAGATTGGGTCAAGAGCTCAAGTGACAGGGAAGGAGTGGTCAGAGTGAGCTATGGAAGCTGCAGCTAGATGGCTGAGGTCAAAAGGAGAGAGCCTCTTATCCTCAGAAACAATTGCATTCCATCCATCAGTGAAAATCATTCATGCCTCAGAAGAAGTCATTGTCCTTGCCACATTTTCTCTTATTTGGAATGTATTTTAGAAAATTTTCAGAAGAAAAACAGTACTTCTGGGGAAAGTGATGTAGACTCAGTGAGAAAAGAATGAGGCTTCATGACACTTATAATATTACTTTAATTCTTGACTTTCCAGTGGTTCAATAAACAATATATTGGGAATTAGATATTTAAGCAAAATAGATTTCTCGTATATGCTGGTATACTCTTGTGTTTCCTGGAGTTCTCCAGGAAAAAGACTGCAGAATAGGAATTCGTGGCCAAGTACCCCTTCAATCTGTAAGGAACTGGGAGGTGTAGGACTGTGCAGAAGAAGGAACAGGACTGGGCTGCAGTTGGAACTGAAGCCTCATCTGAACCCAACAGGAATTCTGGCTAGGAGGGCCTTTTCACACTATCTTGTTGTGAAACCAATACGCATGTCTCCATTCCCCTGACCCACCATCATTGGCCAATGCTTCTAGGGTAGAGGTGGACATGTTAGCTCAGCTGAGTGAACAGCAGCCAGTACTCCCACCTGCAGCTGGAGGAATAATAACCGTAGTCAAGGCAGTATTCATCACAACATTTAGTAAGAGATGGCACATAGATGTAGGTTAATTGAAACCACTGTGCCCAATTGATAGTATAATCAAAACAGCAATAATATTAATCAGCTTCTTTTATTGCACATAGCACATTTTTAGTGGCTTTCAAAGTGGGCTAAGTATTATTCAGGGAGCGCACAGGATCACCCCCTGATTACAGAAAAAAAGCTTAGAAATTTAGTGTATTTTTATTCTATCTCCTTTTAATTTTAGAGGCATGTAGGAAGATATTAAAATATGTACTATACTAGTGCAATAATGTGTATAATTTGTGAATATGTAAATATCATATCAAGTGTATATTATAAATATACATATTATATGTATTCAAACTCTTTTATGGGATATACATATCCCATATAAGTTTATTTATATATATATCCCATATAATATTTATATTTATATATTGATATGTGTATTTATATATACATATCAATATATAAATACACATATCATATGTATTCAAACTGTTTTATGGGATATACGTGTCCCATATAATATTTATGTCTATATTATATTATATAATATATAATACATACTTTATAATATATGTGTGAAACAGAATGGAAACCCTGTATAAATAGTGAGGATGGAGCTGCTGTCAGGAAAAATTGTTCAGATATAAGAATACATAGGTATCCAAAATACAAAGGTTTATAAAAGCCCTTTGGAGCAGAGTTTTCTGATTTGTTGACCATTCAGCCTAACATTCCTCCATTTTGTTGAATAGGTTTCAAAGCCGTAGCCTTTTCAAGGTGGCAAAGGGAAATATTTCTACTTTTTCTTTTTTAGTTCATGTGTTAGATTTAGTCCCATTATTTCATCTTTGTAAGAATGTGCAAAGTTCCAATTATTCATGCTTAATTTTTATTCTAGAGTTACTAGAGAATATCAAATACATTGTCAACTTTGAGGTCTACCTTTTTAAAGTCTAGGAGTATGACATGATTGAAAATTAGATTTTTGTAGAGGATAGCACAAAGTTATATCTTGAACAGGTGTCACTAAAATATTAACCTTTGATTCCTTAGAATGTACTCTTTCATAAACCAACTCTCCTGGAGATAGAGAAATTTTTGATTCTGTCAGACTTCTGACTGCTGATAATGTGTGTGTGTGCCCTGGCCAAGGGGGTGCTGTTGTACTGTGTGGTGGTATACAGGGGCAGTTAGCAGGATCCCCATAGTTTCAACCATGAAAGAGTTCAGAAAATTGCCTTCTGTTAGTGAGAATTTATTAATTTTGAATTAGTGTGGACCAAGGGAAGATATAGACTCGGGGACATATTTCAAAATCAACTTGTAGTTTCAGATGATCCCTTAGTGTTTGGATAGAATTATTTTTATTGTAATGGATGCTAAGTACATCTCTAAATGTATCTTTCCCGATAGAGTTAAAGAAATATTTCTCTTGCCCTTTTTGTCCACATTCCAGTATATGGAAATAAGTCACATTAAGGGAGTGGGTGGAAGCCTGGTGTTGACCAAGAGTTATTAGTCAGGTGGAATGTTACATGGTTCTAGAGACCAAAGTAGCAGTCCTTTAGAAATCTTAGCCAAAGACTGGTGTCCAAGAATGGCCAAAAGAAATAATTTAGTCAAAAGACAATTTATTTAAAGTTTCATGGCTTCCTAGAGAGAGATCATAGCACAAACAATCTTAGTTTTATTTCATCCTTTAGGCAAGTATTATACTGATTATTTTCCCTGAAAACAAAAATGCTGAGAAGATTTTATATAAATAGAAGCTTGTGGATTATAACTTGATCCTCATGGGATGTCTGAGGCACTTCAGTGTTCCCTCACTAAACCTGCAGTTATTTTCTGAATTTAAAACTGGAACCTTCCAGAAAAGATCAGAGTCATGATCTCACTCTTCCACCTGTGATTCTGATAACTTCTTCTGTATCAGACATTGTGTAGCCTCTCAGAAGACTTTCCAATATTTCAAATATTATTATCATTTCAATATTATTTCCAATATTTCCAATATTTCAATATTTCCACATTTTAAAGCCTGTCCCTGAGGTAGCAGTGCTTGTATCTTTGATGATCACCTGTGATAAATATATTGACACCAACAGCCAGTGAAGAATTCAGTGACATGTAATATTAGCTATTTTAGATGTTTGCATTAGACTGAATTTCCCTTTGATAATATAGACTAGAAAAAAATGTTTTATTCCTCTTAGCTTATATGATGAAATGAACAAACCTTGTTAACTCAAATTTGCTTTCCTTAAAAACTTATTTTGAAACTTCTTGTTCATATTGATTATATTTGTTTAAGGTAAATTTGTCAGCAAAAAGTACAATTATGCAGCAGTTAATCCTTAAATAGTAAATAACATCTATAATTTAAAAAAAATAATGTCAGCAGTCAAATCCTAACTGCCAAGCACTTTTGGTTGTGCATGCTAATGCTGTACTGCTTAAAATTAATTTATTCACTTTTAATATGAAACATACAAAGTATTATCATCACAATTTTCTATAATTCTTCACTGCACAACCAATAAACATTTTACCATTTTACAGTAGTAGATTTAAGTAATATTTTATTTCTTCAAACCTCACAATTGTAATACATATAAGGATATTGTTTCTATTAAATATTCATTTTATCGGAGCTAAACTTCTCTACAAACATGTTTTCATGTATAAAATAAATTTGATTTTCAAATAAATGAAATCAATAATTATAACCATTGTTTAAAACCAAAAAATAACTAGATATTTTATATTACATATTGCAATAATCACAATGTACTGGATTGAGGCAGAGATGAAACTCTTATTTGATGTGGGAAGCCACTGTTCTAACAAGACTCTTCGCCTTTTTTCATTCTGTTCCTAGAATACCAATATGATAGATAGTAATTTTAGAACTATGACAGATTGAGAAGAAGTTCTAATTTAAATCTCAATGAATAGTTATAAGGATAGTGTTTGCATATACAAAAAATGACAAGAA